TTGTTTCAAATAAATGTCAGTAGATAGTAAATCACAAGTCGAGATAGGGACATAAGCGCCGTTTTGACCAATAATGAATAGTTTCGACACAAAAAAATGCTAAAGTTTGAAAAATCTCGATTTTGAACACTTTATATCCCTGAAACCATTACAGCTAGACCCCAAGTGTGATGCATTGATGAAATCAGCTCTTCGGGGAGAATCTAAAAATGCAATAAAATACAAGGTGTTCCATTTGAAATAACAAAGTTGTTGCTTCTTTTCATTAGAAGCGGCAACGCCGCAGGGCTGAAAATATTTTAGAACGATGTCCCCCTCGAAAATGTAGTTGACGTGTTTCAGATTGTTTTCATAATCCGGTTTTGGCAACCTACAGAGCCTCTGTTTCGTTTTCAAAGGCCCACTCTGTATTGACTCTACGTGTTTAGGTGCTAATGTTCATTTAATTATTGACACTACGTGTTTAGGTGCTAATGTTCATTTATTCATTTAAGATTGATATGGAACACTAGTTGAGTAAACTAGGCAATACTTACTGTTGAGATTTCATCCGAGTTAAATTAATCATTCTTTCCACACCACGCTCCCCGAAAGGTTGAATGCCCAGGATCAAGTGCCGCCATCCACCCCCACTCACTTACAAGTGGACTTCAACCTTATGCATTTGGCAATCTGCATATGTTTTATAAAACCCCTTACTTGGTTTCAGTCTTCCGACTTTTAAACCTTTTTGTCTAATGTGTGTTTCCTAGCCTGACTTTGCGTGGTGGTTCCCTACCCTAATGGGAAGCAAATTTGAGTTTATGGATTATTATTATTATTGGTTTACATTTTAATAGGGTATCAAAGAAGAGACTCTTCTGTTTGATTATCTGATGATTATTATGCAACTTTTATTGATATTGATTTACATTTGTTTGTTTATCTTATATTTGGTGAATTGGGCGCCTGTACTTTATTCTTCCGAAGCGCGAGTCTTGATTTAGATGTCTATCAGTCAGGTCGTGCAGTAGCGAGTTTTCGTGAATTTCTGTTCTCCCGAATGTAGTCTCCGCGTGTTGTCTTATGTAGTTGTCTATGTAGTCTGGGTTTATGTTCAGGTCCCTATAGATAAATCTATTTGGAATATACCATGGGGCATTCACTGCCATTCATATTGAGACATTTAGAAATGCCTGTATTCGCTTTCTGTATGTCTCTGCGCATTGGCCCCATGCACTTGATGCATACAAAATTATTGGAAGTAGAATGGTTCTTATTAGGCGCAGCTTCAACTCTAGGGCCATGTTGCTTCTGCGACCTATTAGAGGCTGTAGGTTTTGCCTTGCGGCTTTACCCAGGTTTAGTCGTGTTGTGATGTGTTAGGGTTACCCCTAGGTATTTTGCCTCGTCTGCCCATGGTATCTGTGTGTCGTTTAGTATTACGTGTCCTGTGGGTTTGGTACGTCGTCTAGTGAAGAGAACAGCTTGGCTTTTCTCTGCATTGTTGTCTATTTTTCAGTTGTTAAACCAGGTTTCTAGTGTGTCGATTTGTTCTTGTAGGTATCGAACTGTCATGTCTGCGTTGCTGGATCTGGCGATTATGGCTGTGTCGTCGGCGTATATAGCGAGTTTGTTGAAGTTGTTCGCGGGTTTAGGGATATCTGCGGTAAAAATGGAGAAAAGTAGTGGTGAAAGGACCGCACCTTGCGGTACTCCTGCTTCTAGCTCCCTCTCTGCAGAGATTTCATTGCCAACTTTACATTGGCATCGCCTTCCCCGCAATAACATGTTTTATTCTCAAATGCAACCTATGGCTCGCGACCCCTCATTGGAAAGCTGGTTGAAAGAGGAATCCAGAATCCTGATCATATTTCAGTTTGCAGTACGTTTGTGGGTCGCACAAAATCAAAATATAATTTCGAAGTTTAATATATTCGACTTTTAGTGACAGTGATATAGGCTCGGATATAGGGCATTTCCATCAGTTTGCAATAACACTTCGTTTCGAACTGTGAATATAGCTAAAAAACTAAATTTATTTTTGCAGCTCTACAAAAACACTGGAATACAATAGCAGATAGCAGTTGTAGCACAAAATTGCCATCAATTGTTCAACACACATTTTGAGCGATAGATATATTGTTGAAAAAAAAAATGAATTTTAAAATTATATTTAAATTTTATGCAACCTTTGAACGTATGAAAAACTAAAATTTGACTAGTATACTGGATCCCTCTTTCCACCAGCTTTCCAATGAAGGGTCACAAGCCATAGGGTTACATTTGAAAAAATCATGTTGAGGGGGTGGTTTCAGCTACCCATGGAGGGATATATTCTTGATATAGCTTGCAGAAAGTAGGAAAATACAATAAGTCCTTGATGTATGTCGTATGTCGGGAAATTCCAAAAAAATTATTCACCTCCCCACTAACGAATTTCACCTAGTTGAAGTCTCCACACTGTATACTATGAAGTATTCATCATAAGCCAATATACATCATTCTATACAGGGTGATTCATAATATATGCGCAGGACTTTAGGATGTGTGAGCTCTTCCAAAAATATGGAAAATAAATTATATTAACTTCACCTCTGAAATGCACCATTTTCGAGATACAGGGTGTGAAAATTCGAAAAAAAAATCGTTTTCTGCGAAACAGCATCTCGTGCGGAATTCATTTTTTTTTTTAAGTTATAATTGGTGAAGATTTTGAAAGGGTAGTGCATGGGTGTTCATCTCTTCAACTTCTGCGCCACTGGGAAAAGTACAGTTTCGAGCAACTCATTTGAACTGCAAATGTTTTCTACACAAAAAAGGTAGTCTTGGTCATTAGCTCTAAATGCGATCGACAATAATCAACTTTTATGTTGAAAAACATGGTCAATTTTTTGAAATAAATTTCATTTTACTATTTAATTAAACAAAATGTAGTTAAATGTTAGAATAAGTAACAAATTCAAACGTTGACTTCTGAAAAAAAAAAACAATAACAAAGTATACTCCAACACAAAAAAAATTCAAAAAATTACCGAAATTTGCCATGTTTTTCTAAAAAAAAATCAACTTATGAACTTATGACCAAGAGCACCTTTTTTGTGAAGAAAACATTGGCAGTTTCAATGGGCGGCTCAAAACTGTATTTTTTTCAGGGAAGTAGAAGTTTGGGAGGAAAACACCCACTATCCTTTCAAAATCTTCACCAATTATGACTTCAAAAGAAATGAATTCCGCACAAAACATTATCAGTAGAAAATGTTTACAAAAGCAGTTTTCTGTGCGATGAACGGTTCCAGAGATAGGTATTCGAAAGAAACTATTTTTATTTTTAAATTTCACCCTCCAAAAAGGGGGCATTTCTGAGAGTGAGTTGATAGAATTTCGTTTTCATATTTTTGGTCGATCTATCACATCCTGAAGTCCTGCGCATATATAGGTATTATGAAACACTGTACCGGGTGTACCACTAAGAAAGGATGCCGGCTGAATCTCGGAGACTATTTGCCGCACAGGTTTCGAAAAAAAAATATGAATGATGAAAGTGGCCAAGAGAAATTTCTGGAAATTATTTTCAAGTTTCCAGGACAGCCCCTAGAGGGCGTAATTGCATTGGCCAGTTTAATAAACGGTATTTTATGAAAATTTGATTCAAGACATATCAAAAATACTTTTTTCATGTTCTCAAGTTGATTTTCAATCATTTCGATAAAAAAAAATGCGCTAGCTCTTTAAATGAAAGAGGGAAGGAAGGATGAAATATTAGGTACTTTGAAAAAACTCTCATTACTACAGTTTGGTGTAACGGAATTCAACGATCTTGGTCTCATTATGAAGGTTTTTTTTTTGGTTCTTCCAGATGAATCACGAATCAAGTCGATTCAAATCCTGTGGTGGCCGCTAGATGGCATCGTTTGAAAAATCAGACAATTTTCCATTTTCATCTAAAATTTGGAAAAATGGAACCATATATTCATTCTACTCTAAGATGAAAGTAGAGCAATCAAGAAGAAAACCGCGAATTGATGCCTCTTGAGAAACCGGTGAAATACTCGAAATAATATTATGAAAATATTCACCATAGGTTTTCACCATTTTTCTTTTCATATCATAGCAGGAAAAATATATGGTTCCATTTGAAATTCTGAAAAAAAAGGCAAATCGGCTGATTTTTTCAAACGATGCCATCTAGCGGTCAACACGGGATTTAAATCGACTTGATTCGTGATTTATCGGGAAGATCTGAAGAAACACTTTATAATGAGACCAAGATTGCTTAATTCCGTTACGCCAAACTGTAGTAATAAGAGATTTCCAGAGTAGTATTCATCCTTCCCTCCCTCTTTTATTTAAAGAGCTAGCGCATTTTTTTTTGATCGAAATGATTGTAAATCTACTCGAGAACATGGAAAAAGTGTTTCTGATATGTCTTGATATATCAAATTTTCATAAAAACCCGTTTTTTAAGTTGGCCAATGCAATTATGCCCTCTAGCGGCTGTCCTGGAAACTTGAAAATAATTTCCAGAGATTTTTCTTGGCCACTTTTATCATGAATATTTTTTTCCGAAACCTGTGCGGCAAATAGTTTCCGAGATACAGCCGGCGTCCTTTCTTAGTGGTACACCCGGTACAAAGAAGTAGGGGCGAAATTTCCTATCAAAATTAGAATAAAATATTGTACGTTACACGGTATATAGGAAATGCATTTTTTGTGTGTCCCGTAAAATCCCATCGTTACAGAAAATGAGGCGTTTCCTAACTGGTTACGTAAATATCTATTAGTTGCGCTTCTGTATAAATTTGTTTATCTTCATCACAATTAATTCCAAATATTCCTTCAAGTTTTTTTTTTCATTATCGGCCACGTTCCGAATACTAATCATTGCTTTCGACATTGGGAGACACAAAGTTCAGTTGGGGGACATCTGCGATTAGGGAAAGCGCACTTTGTGTGAGTGGCGTGGTCGTTAGTTATTGTGCTCTTGTGGAAATGTGCTGAAAAATTACTGAAAAACGAAAATGATTTGCTCTTTGGTATTTGTCAATGTTGCCGTTTGTGTTCTTGTTGGTTTCACCAGGTTCGATCTGTTCGATACCATTTATGGATCTTTGCAATTGTTCCTGGTTCTGCAATTCACCTATGTCGTCCTTCTCCTACAAGGGTGAGTCGTTACGTTGACGTAACATTTGTTCTTACGATAATATACTTCCTTGAAAAAAATTAACACCACCAAAAGGTATCCGAAAGTTAGAAGTTGAATTTTCATCGAAACTACTTGTCCGATTTAGACATCTCCTTATGAACATTGGCATGCAAACTGTATCCGAAGAATGATAGTTATTTATTATACAAGGGAATAAAGTAGTAGATTCAGCTCCAGATTGTGTTGTCTCCCGACGCGTGGTGGGAGACAAAAAACCGTGAGCTAAAATCTAATATTCTCCCGTGTATAATCGAATAGAATTAAATAGGATAGAATAGAATTTTCATTCGCCACTTTGGTACATTATGTACATATGGTATGTCAATTTGAAATGAAGAATATACAAAAATAGAATAATATCTGCATGATTAATATTACATAATAGTACAACTAGTAGGTATACACATAATATATAACAAACAGACTATATATTAACAATTAACAAATAACATAATGGAATAGACAATACATGTATTTCGGTTCTCGTCCAAGAATTCGTTTACACTATGATAACAATTTTTTATAAGCAATTCTTTCACTCTCGAATCAATATTGAGAAGATATTACATTATATTAAAATTAAAAAGTTATCGACGAGAAATTTGAAGTTTTTAACAGGAATGACACCTGCCTTGGAGGCATATTTATCATTCTTTTGAAGTAATTAAATATCTGTCAGTCTAATTGTGTGATTTGATTTTGAAAAATTGCGAATTTAGTGGTTGTTTAGTAATTTACATAACCGCGAAGTCAAATAGAAGATAAAAAGACTTGCAGTTCTTTCTCGGAGACGGTGTTATCGGCTTATTTTTCGAAACTATAGCACAAAAAGAGCAATCAACAGTGTATATATACAGGGTGATCCACGGTGGATGGCCTATTGGAAGTATCTAGAGAACTAAAAGACAGAACATTCTGGAAATTGGGATGCTTTGATAATTGAACATTCTCTATCCGTCTAAAATATTTTCATCGATACAGTGTTGCCACTTATATCAGAAACAGCTAGCAACTTCGATATTTTAAATGGAGCACCCTGTATTTTATTGCATTTTTCGATTCTTCCTTCCCATAGCAGGAACGATTACAGAGATATAGGGTGTTCAAAATCGCGATTTTTCAATTTTAGGATTTTTTTGTGTCGCAACTATTCATTATCGATCAAAACGGCTTAAACGTTCCTATCTCAACTTTTGATTTACTATCTACTGGAATTTAATTGGAAAAATACAGGGTGCTTCAAGATTCAGAATTCTGATCACCCTGTATCTGTAAGTCCATGGTAACTCAAAGTCTTCTCCACAACATTTATTAGCATCGTAAAGGAACATGTTTCGGGCTCATATAAGCCCATCATCAGCCAATAGAAAGTATATATCCAGAAAAATCGGTATTGACTCAAGATATAGGTGCAAAAATCACTTAGTAAAGTAGACATACAAATAGTATGGTTAATCATAGGGCAAACAGAAATATGCTCCATGATCTGGAAAACAATGGGTTTAAAAAGGGACAAAGTGGAAAATCATGAAAAACTGTCTCTGTAAAATTATATAAATTTATTATGTTATAAATTTGTCGGTTAAGGGTCGGGTTCATATTTTTCAAGGGTCCAAGTGCCCTTGAATTACCTAAAAGTAATAATTAAACTTGGAAAAATCAAACTAAAGAGTTTGATGAGGCATCAAAATTAACCTAACCTACTAATGGAGTTGCCGATGAGCGGCGAAAATAATGACCTGGTAATTTTAAAAATGTAGCAAAGTTTTTCCCCATTGCTTCCAATTTATCAATGCCAATAGGCGAGGGGACTATTTTTTTTTCATTTCTTAAATAGAATCATCACTCAAATTCCTTTCAATTCCATATTTTTGTAGAATTCTTTGTTCGATTTTAAGGTGCCTAAATCAACAATAATTCCACGGTAATTTTCAAACAGCTGAAAATTTACCGCTAGTAAAAACTGACGTCACGATTTCGTAAGTAGGGACAGTCTATAGCACAGTTGCCATATGTTGAAATACGATTGAAACTTCAGAATTATTAGTTATTCAATTATCCATGAATTTCCAATTTTGTATTGGTTATATTCCTATAATTAGACATATAAAATCAATTGTCTCAAAATGTTTGTGTTAATAATAATATTATTATATCAATTCACACTAGAGGACATTTGAGGGTGAACGGCGGACGAAATGTGGGCGGTGCCTTGTCAGATCTCAGCATTCAGGACATTGTTGCCAAGTCTTCAACATCAACATGATATCTTTTTATGGAGTATAAGAGATATTTGGACATGCTGGTTGCTCGAAAAAGTCAAGAATGTACTATAGTATCATGGCTTGCTCATATTATGTTTCATCTTCATCTCATGGGGATTTTAAGGGATTGTGTTGCTCTGCAAAAAGACGTGGACAATATTCATAAATGGAGTAATGAAAATAAACTATATTTCAACATAAATAAATGTGCCGTGCTGACTATAACTCGGTTAAAGGATCCAGTCGTATTTAGGTATGAAATGAACGGGGAACCTCTTGAACGAAAGACAGAGACACGTGATCTTGGTGTAACTCACAATGATGTTTTTTCTTTCACTAACTATCTGGATAATATTGTTAAATCTGCGAATCGTATTTTGGGATTTATTGTGAGACAGACTTCCAGATTTACGAATATACATACCATTTAAATGTTATATTATACTTTAGTCAGGCCCAAACTAGAATTTGCTTCAATAATTTGGATGAGTGAAACTCAAAACGAATTAAAAAGAATTGAGAAGGTGCAAAATAAGTTACTTAAATACTTGTATTTCAAGGAATACCATGTATGGCCTGACTATTTGACAGTCAGGACTACTGAACTCAGATCTCATTTCAAAATAATATCTCTGGATCAGAGACGAAACCTTACAAGTATATTGTTTTTGTATAAAATTATCAATAATAAGATAGATTGTCCCGAAATTTTAACGCTAATTCCATTCAGAGTTCCATTCTGTCGTATTCGTTCCTCCCCTATATTTCATATCTCCGCTAAGCAGTCAAGTAAATCCCCTCTTGTAGCCATGCTTCGACTAGCCAATCAATTCAATGTTCTGAATGTATTAGATTGGTCAAAAGCACCAACTGCTTTCAGAAATGAAATTTTAAATTCCATATTGAACATTTCCATTTAATCCTCTACTTTTCTGGTAAACCATATAAACCATATATACCTATTTATCGACATAATTTTAGTATGGTCAACTATGATATATTTTTTTTTTTGAATCAGTGACATCAAGTATGTAATTTCATTGGGTTATCCATGTAATTAGGCCAGTAGGCCTGTTTGGATGAATAAATAAATAAATAAATAAATAAATAAATAAATAAATAAATAAATAAATAAATAAATGAATAAATAAATAAATAAATAAATAAATAAATAAATAAATAAATAAATAAATAAATAAATAAATAAATAAATAAATAAATAAATAAATAAATAAATAAATAAATAAATAAATAAATAAATAAATAAATAAATAAATAAATAAATAAATAAATAAATAAATACATAAATAAATAAATAAATAAATAAATAAATAAATAAATAAATAAATAAATACATGAATAAATAAATAAATAAATAAATAAATGTTTTATCCAACGACAGGACCCTAATCTTTTTGATGAATTGCAATTGATTATAATCAATGACTTGACAACCTTCCCTCATACGTGGAAATGGAAGATTATCTGACCAATAACGAAACAGCATAAAAACTGACGTTACCATTTATTCGACCTATCGCCAAATTGTGGTCATGACGGTACGTTTGTGTATTTGTATTTGGTACCGGATTGTATTATAGTGAGTTATAGTATTGAGTTATGATAACTCACGTTGTTTGTTTACAGACGCCTTTAATTGCTCAAAAGCAATTGGATAATTAATATATAATTTAATAGGAGTAGATAAACCATTTCATAGCACAACATGATTTTATTGAATTTAATTAGCATCATAAGTACTTAAATAGCAGGCTTATGGTCTGGGGAAGCATTTCTTCAACTGGTCTCATGGACTTTTGTTGGTGAAAGATAATGCCAGGCCTCACGTTGCCCATGGCCAGCTCAGAGCCCATATTTGAATCCCATTGAGAATCTCGGGGACATTCTTGGGATAAGATTACAAGAAGACCGTAACTTGAACGAACACTTTGGAAGACGTACGGCAGAGACTGATTCAATTTTGTGAAGACCTGGACTAAAATGATATAAGGACTCTTCTTTCAATTATGGGCCGTCGTAGCCAAGAAGTTATTTGTGTCAGAGGAGGTTACATTGTTGAAAACACTAATGCTGATAAGACCAATCGGGAGTCGGACAGTTCGACCACGGGCCAGGTACCTGTTTTAAGTACACCGATCAGTTGGACCACGACCGTTCTTCGAGCGGATTAAGGTTGTATTCTAAGAATTAAAACAATCACTATTTTCTTGAAATGATATGTTATTTATTATTGAGGTGAATTATAATGAGACATACTTTTTACAACATCTTTTTGAGATAAAAGGCCATTTCTTTATTCTGATATCTTAGCTTTGATAAAATCTTTTTTTTTTCTGTGTTGCACTTTTAGTTTCTTGAAGGAACATCTTACGGATATTATGTTAATATTTGTTTCTGCTTGAAAGTTCATTGAAATATTTACAAAATTAAACGAACTTGGGTGAGAACTATAAAAACTAGAATTAAAATGAGAATGAAATGATTCACACGCGTTTGTGGTCCTGTACATACTATCTGTAGTACAATCCCACATACTTGGGGGAAAATTACTTCCTTCATCGATATAAGTTTCCACGATTTAATCGCAAAATTTCGATAGACTTGGATTACTGGGCATTATTGAATGAATTTCTTCAGAAAAAAGTTTCCTACTTCATGAGGGTCCAAAAATGGAAAAGGTTGATTCAGGCTGAGTTAGGTTAGATTGTTTAGAAGAAGTAGTATTCCTTGTTCCCTCGAGCAATTCATCGAAGAATATACTTTTTAGGAAGGATTATTTAGTCCGAGTTGGGTTATATTGTTTTGAAAAAGTATAGCCTTTTTTGCTCTCTCAAGTAATATTCAGAAAAATATTTCCTAGGAAGGAGGTTCATTTAGGCCGAGCAAGGTTAGAATGTTCAGAAAAAGTAGTCTCCTTTCTTATGCAGAAAGGATATTTCTTCAAATCCATTTTTGTTGCAGTTACACTTATTTAACAAACTAAAATAACTAGATACTTATGAAGGATAATTATGCTTACTAGAACGTTTGAACGTTACTGGAAGAATTTTACTAGGTAAATCGATTAGAAAATACAATTTCAACCTGGTCGAACTGCAGGGTAGGCTTAACTCGACCTTTTTCAAAAAAGGATTAATACAGGTATTCGTGGTCCAACTGACCTGTCCCCGACCAATCAGATTTGAATGACAGCTACTGTTTTCGCGATAATACAACTTGTCTTTGGCTTGCTATTGGTCAGATTATCTGAGAATTATAAGATGATGAAATAGTCCATATTATCACAGTTGAGAGAATATTACCTCAACTGTGATGTTATCACTCAAGGCTTTATACGCCATAAACAAAACAATACAATAATATCAAAAAAATAAATAAGTGCATGCGTTGTTGAATTCACAGAATGATAATATAATTTTGGTCGTTGAATATATTATCTATCTAGAAATAATAATGTGATGTTATATTACATAACTATCTATTGAAACCTAGATTAGAACTAATTAGAAAAATACGAAATTATCCTTCAACAAGTGTCATTTTTAAGATAATTGGCAAATTTAATTAGGACCATCATAAAATGCTCATTAGGATAATGAGGCATTGTTCAATTTCATTTTATCACTAGAATTGAAAAGGCGTGATACCTGTACAGGGTGAATCAGATTGAAACTAATTACCTTCGTTTTCAAAAAATTATCAATTTGTCCCTTCAATTATCCAATAACTTGAATACTGTCGATAAGTATATGTAATACGTACTATTGAGTTCATCAAGTAGGTACTATAAAATATTTGAATACATATTTCGGAAATATTTGAATAGGTAGTTCAAATAATGTACATACCTATGAACATATTTGCAAATAATATATTAAGTTATATAGCTAGGTATATCCTGACAAGTACCTATTTCTAAGTTCGAATATAGTCACCTGTACGAAAAAAATATATTCGAGTAGGTACCTGGTATTTGGATTCTGTGAAGTTTTTATGAATACAAAAAATGTCCATCATTGCAATCAGTCAATCAAAATGCCAGATATATCAATCGAAATCATATTGACATATAGGTACTAATAGGTAGGTTCTCACCAATTACAAAGTAGAATCACGTGAAATTTCTCTGACTTATCATTTTGAAATATTTTCATCAGATCATCTAATACCATACTCATCAATTTTTCGTTGTCCTACAAATACCCATTTTGACAGTGACGCACCCATGGGGGAAGAGGGGTTGGGGTTTGATCCCCCCCCAAGATCCATTCGAAGGGTCGTGTGCTATGAGTAGTTATCATGTTTTTTCCCATTATGCATTTTGGCATAAACCTTGTTTTTACTTGATATCAAATCAAATCAAAATGTACTATATTGCCTGAAGAATAAATTCTTATTGACAAAGTATTGATCGTCATTACAAAGCATAGTCTTATATAGAAAATAAAAACACATATTCAAATATAAAGTGTAGACATGTAAAAAAGTGTGTAAATGTATAAAATTGTATAAAAATGTATAAAGGTAAAAATGTATAAAGGTAAAAATGTATAAAAGTAAAAATATGTATGAACATTCACAAATTTGTTTGTAAAGACAGTAATACATTTATAAACAAGTTTGAAAATCAGTAGTATTATTATAAAATCATGTACCCTGATAGAATTCGGTGAGATTATAACACGCTTTTTCCAATAGAAACTTTTTGACCGATTTCCTGAACTTTTGTTCAGTTTCTATTTGCTTTATGTGCAAGGGCAGATGATTGAACAACTTCTTGCCTTCATAAATTATGGAATTCTTGTTAAGAGTTGACGTGGGAATAGGCAGTTTAATGTTATAGGAAGAGCTGCGGGTATTATGTGTCGTCGACTCGGTCGTCGACTCATGTCTGAATTCTTTAAACTTTTTTTTAACTAGGCAAACGGTTTCCAAAATGAAAATGCAGGCCAGTGGCAGTATTCTATGAGCCAAAAATAAAGGTCTACATGACTCCCTCGAATCGGCTTTGCACATATATCTTAGTGCTCTTTTTTGGAGAATAAAAACTCTAAGGAATAAATAGTTTGCGCACAAGCCCCAAAAGCAAATACCATAGCGTAGGTGCGATTCAATGAGTGAGTAGTAAGCGTTCTTTGCCGCAGTTAGACCTAATTCATTGGATGTAACTCGTACGGCATAACAGCCAGACGCTAGCTTTTTAGCTAAGTTTAAAATGTGCCCTTCAAATTTTAGTTTGGCGTCAATATTCAATCCCAAGAATTTATGTGTAGCTTTGATGCTAAGACAGTCATTTTCGAGAGATACATTGTTGATAACGCTCTTAAAGTTGATCAATGATATGTGGAAAGATATCACCTGATAACGAAATGTTATGTGTTCCAAAGGCATGTAAAATAGTTATTTTCCTAACAAGTGCGCAAAGTGTTACTTTTCCAGCACGAGGGAAGTTAAGGTCCCTCGTGCTCTTGAGTTTAGTTTATCGTACCAGTATTTCACCTGAAGAAGCTACTGTGACAGCAAAACATGATGGCGTATGATTAAGAGCTTTTTTTGTTTGTTACAGAGTAAACAAAATGGTGGACATAATTTCGAATCGGGTTTTCGATACGTACAACAGGTTTTCGCCGTCCAACAATCATCAGAACGAATCTCTTTCCACTTTGAGAACTCTGAACCGGTTCGTCAGAGATGAAAAGTTCAAGAGGACTCAGGCCAGAGTAGCTGATACACAGGTAAAGGACCCCCCTAATTTTTCAACAAAAAAACGAATTCGAATTTCAGCAGTTTTTCAACAGTTATATCAGGATGTCCTGAAATGTTCTGAATATTCGAGATAACCATGTCGGTTTGTTCACGAAATTGTGTACCTGGGTCGACCAGGGTAGATGTTGCTCTAGTAACTAGTTCGTCAACTTAATTTTTTGTTTTTCATTCATTTCATTTCTTACGCTCGCCATGACTTTTTTTTTCTGCTGAATCTGAAGTGCGCATAAATAATATACGTATAATATATACATCAAAACTAGTTTTAATCTTCTCCTGAAGATGCTAACATAGTTAGCGAAACACGTGTCGAGGCGTTTAAAAAATCGGTTTGGTTAGTGGTAAAACAGTTTAGTGTCAATAGAATACACAAATGGGTCACTCTATGGTTGTATTTATATTGTAACTGAAACTCTAACATCCTTGAAATTTAAATAAACCTGATCTGTAAATGCAGGTAGAATTTTCTCACCACTCGGATTATAATATGTTGCATTGCATACATATGGCACGGCATCCACGTTTCGGGTATAGTATTGAATTCGTGCACGTATATACAGTATGATGCAAATGTATGGAATAAATTCATTTCAAAACAAGACGACTTTCGAAAAAAAAAAACAAAAACTAGAGTTTAGAACTTTTTTTCGACGTATTTTTTTAACTAGACGACCCTTCGATGTTCAATTCTCAGTAGCAGACCTCTGCAAGATTCAATTAATCACATGATAATCCATTTTAATTTCAATCTTCTTATGCAACATTTTGACTGTTGAATAGACGATCAGTAGACCTTTCAATCCAGGTGTCACATGACCCCTATTCGTATTTGAAAAAATCGTCCATTACGTCTTTACTCCAACACCGGTGACGTAACATCTCTCATATGAATATCATGAGATGAGGCTTCAGAAATTAAAACTCACGTGTTTTTGGAATTTTTTCAAATGTCGCCCATTTCTGAAATAATGAATTTATTCCATACATTTGCATCATCCTGTATATTCATTTTAGTTAATTATTTCGGTTGCAGAAAAAATAGCATGTTTCATTCGGATCAGAAAATACTTTGTTTGACTCGCAAATTTTGCTTTCGCTCGGCTTCGCTAGACGCTCCGCCTTGCAAATGTAAAATTCGCTGGTCGAACAAAGTGTCACTTTCGATCCTTATAAAACAATCTACTATTCTTATACATTTTTTGCGATCATGTCGAAACTACTGGCAACATTGTAATGAAATTTTGTATGGATATGTTCTGGAATGAATTTGTTTTCATATTTGACTCGCTTAGAGGGCGGTTACCTAACCTAACCTACCTGATTCAATATTTCATGTTTTGAGTTGAATTTATCTAAATTAATTTCTACTTGCGTTTCTTTGTTCAATCCATTACTATAGCACAAATATGATGTTATTGTTTTTGAATTTGGATAAATAGACGATGGATCTGTGTAATTCTTATTTTATACCAGCATCAGCTATATTGTTCCATTATTCTCAAATCAAAATATTCCGAAAACAGTACAGAGTATTGAGTCTCAGCAAGAGTACCTTTTCGATGAACAATTGAATAATGTTCGAGTTTACATGAAATTTGGTCTAAAAAATCTAACCTCAAAAAGGTTATGTTTGAAAAGGGCATCGCCCTATCTTCCCCCGGTAAGGCACTAGCCGTTCGATATATACCCCGACAATGGAATGACACCGACAGTCCTGGACATAGTGCTGTCCAAGAACGTGGTGGGCATCTCTGACCTAGAGGAAGTGGACGAGCTTATCTCTGACCTAGAGGCAGTGGACGAGCTGAGCTCTGACCATCTGCCAGTTCTATTCGAATTCGGACAGAAACCTCCCGAAATTGTCAAGAAAATGTTCGACTATAAAAACACGAACTGGCGGATGTTCAGAGCACAGCTGGACCAAACAACTGTAATTAAAAGTAACATAACCTAGGCCAGAGATTCCACCACGAGACAGGTCAGCATAGACTTCAACAAGGACGAACTCTCGAAGGAAGTCCTAGAGCTCCTCGCAGAGAAGAGAATCTTGATTCGCCGCTGGCAACAGCTTAAAACGCCGGAAGCCAGAGGCGCCTTCAATAGGATCTGTAATCAGATTGAGTATAAAATTCGAGAGCTCAGGAACTCCTCCTGGAGAGCCAAGTTAGAGTGCATGGACCCTCGCGACAATACTCTATGTAAAATGACTAAAAGATTTGAAAAATGGTTCACACCTATTCCAACCCTGGAGTATGGTCGCGAGGAAGCGGTCTCAGATCCGGAGAAGGCGGTAATGCTTGGGAGACACTTCCAAAAAATATCTAAAATCAACAAAGAACCAATAGGTGCGGTCCAGGAGGACATGGTGGCAACTGCCACACGTATAAGATCACTGCCTCCCGCCCTCGCGACAAGCCCTGGGCTAAACAATTACATCTCCTAAAGAGATGATGGGGATCACTAAGAATCTTAACATCAATAAAGCACCAGGTCTTGATGGTCTGGGCAAGGCAGTAGTGCAACTACATTACGTCATCAATGCTATCATACGATGTCAGCACTGGGCTTGTTGTACCTATCCCGAAACAGGGCAAATACCTAAACAGACCAACAGGTCGAGAAGCTGGACCTCATACCAAAGGAAGAGTTCGGGTTCCGCAAGGAACACAGAACTGTGTCCCAAGTGGCTCGAATTATTCATGAAGTTGAGGAGCCCAGCAACAACGACAAAAACACCGTTCTGGTCATGATGGACGTAGAAAAGGCGTTTGAAACCGTCTGGCACGAAGGTTTAATGGCCAAGTTGTACAAGGCTAGAGTGCCGATTTTTATCATTAAAATTATCGATGCATATATCACCAACAGGAAAATCAGGATCAAGGTCAATGAAAGTATATCGGGAGATTTTCCACTCGAGGCAGGTGTTCCACAGGGGTCGCCTTTCACCTCTGCTATATAACCTGTACACATACGATTTCCCTGTATTCGAGCGGACGAGTACGGCACTGTACGCCGACGACACGGCGATTTATGTTCACTCGTCCGTCTGGGATATTGCCAGACAGCAAATCCAAATCCATCTGGACAGGGGAATCGTGCCGTACTTTGACGAGTCAAAGATCTGTGTAAATAGTGAGAAGACTGAAGTCGTCAACTTCCACAAGAAAAGAAATGACTCCAAGCTACACAGACCTGTGTGACTGACACGAGCCCCGTGAAATATCTGGGGGTTGAACTAGACACTCGTATGAGTCACAGGCCTAACACCAATTATCTTATCCAGAAGATTCAGGCAGCCATAAAAAAGATGTACCCCTTTTTATCCAGGACCTCTGCACTCTCGTTGGAGAACAAGGTCCTGTTGGACAAGCAGGTCATCAGGCCTGTGATAACATACGCGTATCCTGGTGTACTGCAGCATCCCACCTACTCATATGAATAGGTTACAGGTGCTGCAGAACAAAGTACTTCGTATTATCACCAACGGTGATAGATACTCTCGAGTGGCAGAACAAAGTACTTCGTATTATCACCAACGGTGATAGATACTCTCGAGTGGCAGATCTCCATGAGAGATGTGGTAATTTGCCTAGAATCAACGAGATAATCCTGAAAATATCAAATAAATTCTACAAATACCACATCGCTGGAAGTGACCTTACCCGGAACATCACCACACTACGCCAACAACATAACATAGGCAAAAAACACGGGCTTATACAGGGTGTCCGGAAATTAGGCGCAAAAAATCAAGGGGGTGATTCTACATGATAAAATAAAAATTTCATTTTATATGTACGTGGGTCCGGAAATGCATAGTTTTCAACATACAGTGTGTAAAAACTTTTAAAAAAGTTCGGTTTTTTATGAATATCTCAAATGTCCTTCCACCGATTTTCTTGAAATTTGGCAATGATATTTCTTGTCATGAGGGGCTGATATAGCGATAATTCAATCGGAATTATGAATGTTAGTGGCGTCCCAGGGGGCAACCTAGCGAATATTATTGTCAATAAAATGTGCGCCACTGATTTTTTTGAATTCTTTATCTTCTTAACCTATTGACCAACTGAAAATACAACTTTTTGATCTCTGTAACTGTTCTGAAAATTTGCTTCATTTCCATGGAAAAAAATAAATACCAATTTATTGCATGAATTTGTGCCAAAAGAATCCTTTGAAAACTGGGGTGAAAATAAATGCGTGATCAATGTCCATAGACATAGAATAAGTATGAAGATTCATTCTCTTCAAATATTTCTTGATACATGTTTGACACACTCTACACTCTGTATATAGAGTGCTATGTATTCTCGCTCCAGGGAGGCGCAGTTTTCGATAATACAAAGAGTGTCAAACATGTAATATGAAATATTTGAAGAAAATGAATCTTCATTATCCTTCTACGTCTATGGAAATGGATCACATATTCAATTTCACCCCTGTTTTTGAAGGTTTGTTTTGCACAAATTTATACAATGAATTGGTATTTATTTTTTTCCACGGAAACGCAGCCAAATTGCAAAACAATTCAGGAGACCAGAATGTTATATTCGTAGTTGATCATTAGGATATGACGATGTGGAATTTGAAAAAATCAGTGGCGCACATTTTATTGACAATAATATTCGGTAGGGTGCCCCCGGGACGCCACTGGATTTCACAATCCTAATTCAATTATGGCTACATCAGCCCCTCATGACAAAGAATATCATTGCCAAATTGAGAGAGAATCTGTGAAAGGATATTTGAGATATTCATAAATAACCGATTTTTTCTAAAAAGTTCGACACACTGTATCTTGAAAACTATGCATTTCCGGACCCGAGTATATATGGAATAAATCTCATGTTTTCTCATGCAGAATCACCCCCTTGATTTTTTGCGCATAATTTCCGGACACCCTGTATATGCATCAACCGATGTGTTCAGAGAACCTGATAATCTATATTTGGGAATCTTCCCGGAT